TTTTATAGCTGGGACCGCTCCATCTTTCAGTATCAAACAATGTGCAAATCCAGAGTCGAACTGGACCTTGTTTATAAAACGTTCGTCAACAAACACAAAAACTGACACTCCGTTGCTGCCCATATAAGGAGTTCCACCCTCGTCTACGTCATGAAGAGCCACGATCGAAAACAACTCAACTTGTACGAACCCGGAAGTAAGATTTTTGGCACAGAAATACTCTGTCATATGTCCAAATTGTTTTTTGAAACTTTGTCCATGCTTAGCATGAGAATCCAACTCTTTAACAGTGTAAACAACTCTGAATGCATTAAACAGCATTGTACCCCCCCTTTAATGAATTAAAAGGCAGCTTAAGTGTACTTAAACAACTAAACTTCCACAACTGTTTCTTAACCCACTTAATTTTACATTTAAAAAAAAGTGCACTTTGTAATAATGCCAAATATCATTATATCTTGATCTTTTCTTGATCTTTACATTTTTGTTAATCTTTAAAGGATTGCACTTATTTTTGATTTGTTCACTAACATGCTAAAACACGTGCAAATTTATATTATATGCAGTTAGCTGAACTTTTCAAAAAAAATATTTACACACTCAAAAGCATAGTTCACCCAAAAATGAAAATGTTGTCATTATTTATTTTTTTTCTGTTGAGCACAAAAGAAGATATTTTGAAAAATGTGTGTAACAAAACAGTTTTTGGTCCCCATTGACTTTTATAGTATTTTTATCTTCCAAAGTCAATGGCTACCCGCAACTCTTTGATTACCAACATTCTTCAAAATATCTTATTTTTATCATATCATTTATTTTTATTTTTTCCAACAGAAGAAAGAAACTCATACAGGTTTGGAACAACATGACGGAGAGATTTTTGGGTGAACTATCCCTTTAAGTAGAACTGAAGTCTGTATATGTCATTTCATAATTACTATTCTATTAGCTTTGAAATATGGTTAAAGTGTTCTGCTGAATGTACTTTTTTTAGAGTTGAAGTACACTACAAGTGAACATTTAATACAATTAAGTAAACTTCTATATAGGAGACCAAGTGCACGTTTTTACTTTTCACAGTGTCTTCTCATAAACAGTATGACATAGATCTACAGTATTTATTTAGCCAAATACCATAAAGACTGAAGCTGCATTTCTATTGTTTCCTTACATAAACTAAAATGTATAATACTCAGTATTTACATGATGCATGCCTTTTTTATCTGCTACATGTAGTGTTGTTATTCATTTATGCACTGTTTAAAAGCAGGAGCATAAGTTCTGTAAGGCATGCAGTCAAACTTCATCCAAAATTGGAGAAAACATCAACGAGTGAATATTACAATCAGTATTCAAAAGAAAATGTCTTGTTTATTGTCACCCCTGAAGTTTAAATAAGATTTACTGTGGTCACAAGTACGATTGCTAGATTGTTCTTTCCCCTCCTAAGGTTTGTGTTCAAATCTGCTGTTACTTGTCCATTTGAGCAGTGATTATATAGGCTTCGTCCCTCTGAAAGCCCTTATACGGTGACCAGAGCTGTTCTCCATCTCCTCTACAGCTTCATAACAATCCCACAGCTCCATGGTTTTATTCAATTAAAGACCCTTCTCCTTTAAACTGGGCATCATGCCGGTAGCTTTATAAGGCTTGGCTATTTTTAAGGATTGTTAATGTGCAACATAATAGATTGAGGAGCCGTATTTTGGCCTCATTGTTAATGAATTTCAATAGGAAATATCAGTGCGTGCTGTGTACAATATTTACACCATAATGTGTTGTAAAGCTACAGATGACCAGCTGTGTGTTCATGAAGAATGTTCTTCTCTGTGGCAGTGTTGTGAGGTTTGGACATATATTTGTAGGCGTATAATTTTATCTAAATATTTAGTAAGAGAAGAGAAGCCACTGGAGACGGAAACATTCTGCAAATCAACATGGAAGGTTTGTGAGTCTCAGATATTTAGTACTGTAGTTTATTTTTCATCTCAGTATAATTTTTATGTATTTGAATGGGCTGTCTTTTATTGGCTGCACACTGCCCTCTATTGGTGATTAATAGGAACTATATTGTCCTCTAAAGACTCTTTATGGAGCAAACCAAACAAATAACCATTGTCAAGTGTTTTCAAACAGTGTTTTTTTATATATATATATATATGCTTTGAATAAGGTGATTTTAACAAATGCTAACACTGTAATATTGCCATCTGTTTACTGATGCCCAGAATCCAAGAACTGTCATTCAACAGTATGCACACAAGCTATTTATATGCTATTTAACATCAATGTCAATTTCATTTCAGGTGTAACATAAAGTTTATTTACATGATACATTTTTTAAAATATGCCCCTTTTCTCAGAATTTTCCTTTGTCAAACAGTAGTTTTTTGCAATTTGTTCCAGTTATGTGGGATTCGGATGAACAGAGTTTATGGATCATCATAATTGTTGGTTGGAATATGATTTTAATGCACTAGAAAAGCAAAATCTCCTAGAGATTTAGGAGAGGGGCTGTGACCAAATTTCTGGACCGAATTGAGCTTACTGTTTCCGGATATCTATCACAGCAAATCACCTAAATGCAGTTGATGCCAAACTAACTCAACTAAATCATCAACTTAACAAAAAGTAAAACATAGCTGTATATTTTCATGTTTTTCTCTAACAAAACAATTTGTGAAAATCCATGAAAAACATACTACCCCACATTTTTTTAAATGCACAGAGTACCAGAAAATCATCATTGTATGCAAAGTTTCGTTCAGCCTTTTTGGTTGTCAAAACAAATAAAACATGCAAATGTGTTATTTTCCGTCTGGCTTGAGCAGCTGTGCGTGTACGTGTTTGGTGAGCTGTGATGCTCTGAGGAACTAATCTCACAAGTCCTGATTGAAATTGCTCCAGTTTAAATGATGACCTCAGAAGGCATGGCATGACATCTGTAGTTTCCTGATCTTTGGTGATTTATCGAAGAAGTTTATTTTAGGTGAAGGTATTTATTACTGGCAGATGGTCATAAATAGATTTGTTCTTGTAATGCTGCCATTATACTTGGGAATGGCTTGCAATGCAATTCTCCAAATAAACAAGGTCATCTCAGGACTGAATTATTCTTTGTTACTTTTTTTCATGAATCCTACATAACCCTAACCCTACTGCATAAATGTTTCAATGTGCTAAATCAAGCAGAGAGACTCTACAATTACTAGGCAGTCTTAGACGAACAATCGCTCTGCTTTATGACTTGACCTTATAGCAGAGTTGATTTGTGATGCCCTCAAAGTTACAGATGGCTGATATTAAATCTTATGTTGAGGTGTCTCTGCTTCTCTTTGCGAGGCTAATGGCTCATAGACCTGCTTTGGCCAGTACCACTGTTTAGTCATTTGACATGCAGCTGTTGTGATGCGTAAATTAGTGGCACTTGGTCTAAATTAAGAGACACTGTCTATGAACCAGGGATGGGCTTATAGTTCTTTTTTCATCCATGTACAGTATTATACATGGTCGGGAAAAAATAAAAACTTGTAGTATTGATTTTCATTTTTGGGTGAACTATCCCTTTAAGCTACTACCATACTTTTACTAAAAGCACTTTTTACAGTTTATTTTTTTATACATTGAAATGTCTACATACCCTTACTTTTAGGTTAAGTTACCCTTTAATAAATGCATGATTATTATCTATCTCATAGATAGAGGACGGTAGTCCCGCTGCCGTAGCTGGATTGTGTGAGAATGATGAGCTGGTGTCAGTGAATGGAAAGCCTTGCTCAAACCTCAGTCTCTCAGACGCTATTGAACTCATTGAGGCCTCAGCTGACTGTCTACAGCTGCTTGTCAAAAGGTATTTTATTGCTTGGACAAATGTTCCTTGATGCACTCTGGTTGCCTCTTTGCTTTACTTTGTGCAATAGTTTTTTTAGGCAAAAAGGAAATGGCTTTTTCATTTCAAACTAGAAGCATTAAATGTTAATGCAATATTTAAACCCCACCTCTTCTGTCATTCCAGACCAAATGCAACATATTGTGATGCATGCATTAAATTGTATAGCTATTTGCATTTTTATAGTATAGTTTATGAAATGTCTTGTTTATGCCTATCTTGACCTTTGAAATACCAAACATGTACCAAATGACCCACTGTGTAATCATGAAATCAAAAACAGAATCTCTCACCTAGATACATTTAGATTAATTAGACGCTAATATGTGATTCACATTAATTGGTACTGAAAACTCCAAAGGGTAACTGAAAACTAAGGTAGTTTTGTTATTTTTGATAAATGATTTGCTTGATAAAGAAGTCTTGGGGTTTGATTGGATGGATTAACTGCAAATGATGTGATTTTACCATGATCTCCTCCCTGTAGATGCTGTAGTCCACCTCAAGAGAGCTTTGAAATGGTTAGTACCACTTTTCGGATCCCTTCTCCATCCAGGCCTCACGAGCCACAAGGACTATACACCTCTGAGTCCCAGGATGAAGCATATTATGGGGAGACAGACAGTGATGGAGAGTGTCCTGTGGGGACTCGATTGGTCCGGACACAACTTCAGATACCTGCTTCTTGGAATAAAAGTACAGGCATCAATGCCCAGGGTGGTGTTGACACCAGTTTGGATGTAACCCCAGGCTCTGTGGTGGAATTGCAGCTCTCGCTCTCCAAGACCACCCTGGAAGAGCCAGACTGTACTGCATTGGGCAGTGCATATGGAGTTGTGGGAGACGTCCATCATAGAAAGACGGATGGGAGCGTCAACTATACCACCACCTCATTTTCTCCAGGTAACCCCCTCTACATACCCCGTCGAGACCGGCAACCCCTTGGTCAGCGGGGTGTGCTGGTTAGCAAACCCCCTGCTTTGACAGGACAGGTGGAGGTGACATTGAAGCAGTTATCTGGAAGCAGTTCAGGAAAGGAGGGGGTAGAGGCCAGTGAACGGTTGGATTCTGGTGGGGAAGAAGGAGGGCACACTGAAGAAGCTCCCACCTCCTCATCTGTGTCCTTTGGACTTCCCTCAGAGGAGTGGGACTCCGAATCGGAGAGGGAGGTCAACGAGCCCAACAAGCACCGGGCAAGGCACTCCAGTAAGTAACATCTACTTTTCAGTGTGTGATATGGTATCTGTTTACAAGAATAGCAATAATTTCATAAATTTCTTAAGTTATAGATATAGCATCAGTACACTGACTAAGTCAGCTGTGGTTGCTTGCGCTTCTAATTTGCAAAGTTATAGTTTAAAAAAAGTTCCACACAATTCATGTCCAGTTTGTATGGTTCTTTTTAACCCTTTTTATTGTCACTTTTTATGATCTGTATTGTGTATACTTTTAATGATTTGTGAGCAAAAGCATGAAAAAGTGTCAAATGTTTATTTTAGATAGACAGAAAAAAGAACATAGCAATGATTCACCGTAGCAGTAATGGGTGGGGGCTCGCAGGGTGACATGGCTGGTAAAGTTAAGAATAAAACATGGGCATGCTAATGATGCTGGCAGAAGAGCCATTTGACAGACATCAGCATGTGTGACTCTGGCCTGTTACCCGATCCTTTAAAATGGGCCATCTTAGCAGCACTGAAAAGGAAGGAGCACTCATCTATGGCTATCTCCACCTATCTGCTACAAGAATTGTGGCATGTCTTTATTCTCTCTGAGTTTTAGCCAAACCTATTTTGAAAGGACTGACACAGGTGCTTGGTGGGAATATGGGGCTTTACAGTACTTCTTGAATGGAATAGGGTAGAGTGTTTTTTTACAGCTTTTGGAGCTACACATATGGGATTGTATTAGCACTCTGCCACTAGCAAGCCCACACAGTGCCCCAGGGCTATTTTTACTCCCTCTTTTTTCTCTGCTGTGTCTGCTATTGGCTCAACCTCAGTAACGTGCTCTAGACACATTCATAGCTGTAACTGGCTTATGTTAATGTCTGAATGTTATACATGGATCAGAGATTTAGTTAATTGGTGATGGTGTTGTCAAATCTCTGCTTGGAGAATGACTTATTGGACCATTGGGAGTAATGTGGGTCAGGAGATCCGTGAATTCCATTTAACTCCTGTTAAACCAGGGATTCATCATTTGATCAGCGGACAAGTCATGACTTTGTTGATACACATTATCATGCATTTTTTAATTTTAATTGACATAATCTGAATTGAATATAGTAGATTCCCATGCATATATAAAAAAAACAGTTATGTATTTGGTTTAACATTAGTTAAAAAATTAGTTAGCTACAGGGTTCTCAGTTAATACTTGTATTTTCCCAGTTCAAGTCCTCTCATGTGAAATGACGTATTGGCTGCTCACATAACAGTGCTATTTATATGCTTCATACACAGTTCAGTGAATTAGGCCACCAGGACCAATCATGTGCAATAGCCCTTCTTTATGACCTCACCCGCCTCGCTCCCTACCTGTAACCTAAACTTCTCATTTTCTCATTCTTAGGGCTCCGGCGCAGTGAGAGCCTTTCAGAGAAGCAGGTGAAAGAGGCCAAGTCCAAATGCAAGCGCATTGCTCTCCTGCTGTCGGCTCCCGCCCCCAACCCTAATAACAAGGGGGTGTTGATGTTTAAGAAGCATAGACAGAGGGCCAAGAAGTATACACTTGTAAGCTACGGTACTGGTGAGGACGAGCCAAATTATAAAGACGAAGACGACAAAGAGGAGCACACTGTTGAGTTCACTGTTCTAGCCACAAGTGAAACAGAAACTGATGAGGATTTCTTTACCAATGCCTCAGGTCAGAAAAGCATTGTGAGCTTTGATTGGGATACTGGATTACTTGAGATAGAGCGCAAGCTTGACAAGCAGCAGGATATGGATGCACTGCCTGAGACCAAGGGGAAAGGAGCCCTCATGTTTGCCCAGCGCAAACAGCGCATGGATGACATAGTAGAAGAACATGAAGAGATGAGACGTAAGGGGATCCCTGTTGAAGCAGTGCAGGAGACTGAGACACATAAAGCATACCAACACACGGATGAGCACACTTATATGCATGCACAAGAGACCCAGAATTACATGGATGTAAATCTACACCAAAGCATATCGGCACAAAAGCAGCAACAGCAACAACAACATCATCAGTACCAAGAACAGTACTATCAACAACAGCAGCAGCAGCTGTATCAAGACTACCAGCAGCAGCTACAATACCAGCAACAGCAACATCAGTACCAACAACAGCAAGACTACCAGCAACAAAAAATGTACCAACACATGCAATCATACAATCAGCAACAACACTGCCAACAACAGCAAGTGCAACAGTATTCACATCATATGAATGGCATGTTTGATCAGCAAATGCAGAACGAAATGCAGCCATTAGTCACAAACAGGAGTGCCAAACCATTTTCAATTCAGAATAGAGTGGCTGCTCCATTTTCCTCCCAATCAAGTGCAGATAATCAAGAACAGTCTGGGTATTCATTGGGACAAGGTGAACAGATTGCTTCCCGTGATGAGCGTATATCTGTACCTGCTATCAAGACAGGTATCTTGCAAGATACAAGGAGGAGGAGTGCCAATAAACCTATGTTCACTTTCAAGGAGTCCCCCAAGGTCTCACCTAATCCTGCTCTGTTGAATCTCCTTAACAAGAAAGACAAGAAGGCAGGTTTTGAGTCCTGCCCAGAAGAAGATTATTTAAGCTTAGGAGCTGAAGCCTGCAACTTTCTTCAGTCTCCTAAAATGAAACACAAAATTCCACCACCAGTTGCTCCTAAACCTCACCTTAACCCTGCTTCTCCCCCATGGTCTACTCAACAAGAAACTATTGACCAACCCAGTGTCCCAGCACCTGCAGAAGCTCCTGTCACAGAGGCTGATGCTGCTCCTGCCCCTAAAATGGGGGGCCCAACGTTGTCTGAACAAGAGCCTACATTGGCCCCTGAATCTCATGATGTTCCACACTGTCCTGAACAGCTTCCTTCAGATAATGCCTGGAAACATCCAGAATCTCAAATGGAGCTAAACCAGCAACCAGAAACCTGGAATGAGAAACAACCCCAGCTGCAAATGAATTCTGCTCTTCCTGTCGCACCACCTGTTACGCAGTCAGATCCATCTGTTAGATCATGGGATCCAGCTCCAACTCAAGGTCATCAGCAGATTCCAGTAAGTACTTGGGGTCCAAATGAGGTCCAATTGCAAGTCCCATCTCAAAACCAGTCTCAAACACAGCCACAGTGGATGACACAGTCTCAAGGTCCTCCAGAAGTACAATTGCAAGTGCCTTCTAAAACACAATCCCAGCCTTGGGTAACACAGCCTCAAGCTTCACCCCCACCCAAACATCCACCACAGCCTCAGCCCCAAATCAATTCTTGGGCACCAAGTCCAAATCAGTCAACCCCACAAGCTCCATGGTCTCAGCCACATGAGCCGGCACAACCATCTATCAGTGTTTGGCAACAAGATCAAAATCAAGCTCAGGAACATCCGGCTTGGACCCAAAAACAACAGTTCCAACAATCACAGGCAATGCCACATTGGGCATCACCCCCTCAGCAACAGCCACAGCCTTCTTGGGCTCAACCTCAGAGGCAGTCACAGGCCCTGGTTTCTCAGGCCAAACAGCAAGAACCAATACAGCCATCTGCAAATGCATGGACTCAGCCACAGAGTCCAATTCAAGCACAGCCTCCATGGGCTCAGCAGACTCAACCAACACCTCAGCCCACAGCACCAGTACAGCAACCCATGAATCCTTGGCCACCAATGCCAGCCCAGTCCCAACCACATCCACAGTGGGGACAAGAACCTGTTTCTCAACAACATTCTCAACAAGTAATGAACTCTTTTACACCTGTACAGAATCAAATTCAGCCTCCCTGGGCTCAGCCACTCCCACCAACTCCCGCCACTCCATGGGCACAGAAACCTCAACAGCAGGCATCACAGCCACCTGTGAGCCAGTGGGCACCACCACAATCTCAGACTCAATCAGCTGTAAATGCTTGGGCATCCCAACACCAGCAGAGTTCAGTTGGCAGCATTGCCCAAAATGAAACCCAGAAATTGCCTCCCCAACCAAACAAGCCATGGCGTCCAACTCAGACTTCTCAGCCTACTCCTCCACGACGAATGAATTCATATAACACTGGGACAAAGGCACCATCTACTGTTCCAACAAGTAGTACTATGTCACTCTCTGGTTTTGGTTCAGCATTTGAGATGCCGGCCTTGAGAGGGAAAGGAGCTGAACTGTTCGCCAAGAGGCAATCCAGAATGGAGAAGTACATTGTGGATTCTACCACAGTGCAGTCGAATAAGGCAAGACCATCTTCACCTTCTCCTTCTTTGCCACATTCCTGGAAATATTCACTCAATTGCAGGGCTCCCCCACCATTGGCATATAATCCAATTCATTCACCATCATATCCACCGGGTGCTATCAAGCAGCCTCCCCCCTCTAGCCCTTCAACAGCAAACAAGAACAAAAACAAAGACAAGCAAAAACCTACCCCAAAACCTCTTCATGTTCTTGATGTCATGAAGCATCAGCCCTATCAGCTGAATTCCTCCCTTTTTACCTATGGCCCAGCAGCAAAAAAACTTGCTGCAGAAAAGGAGGCAGCTGAAAAGCTTGCTGCTCAAAAAGCAGATGAAGCCCAGGCTCAAGCTCAAGCTCAGGCCCAGGCCCAAATTCAAGCCCAAGCACTAGGTCCTCCAAATCAAAACCAGCAAATGGCATATAACCAAAGTCCTCCCCCTTATGGTTTTATGCCACAACAGGCCCAGCAACCCTACGGGATGGCTGGTCAGTCACCTATGCA